GTTTCACCCGTAAGATTTTTATAAATGATTTGGCACTGTACGTGTGATCTTTGGAGAATTTTTAAATTTTTTTACTTTACCAGTGGCGGAGAAAATAGGGGTTCCCATTGTTTTAGTAAAAAAATATTAGTACGCCACTGGCTTTAAATTTATAAACCTATATTTTTTGGATTCTCCGCTTAATTTGGGACAAGAAATTATCCTTGTAAGTTTTTCGTAACTATTATCATTTTCAAGTAAAATTTATTTACTTATTTCTATACAATAACGTGGACATATTATTACCATGCGAATTTATTATTTATTATGTTTTACTTGCCTAAACATAATTTGCCTAATTCTAATACAAGTGTACATAAAAATCTGATAAATCGAGAGTTTCTCAAATCGTAAGACGCCTTCGATATTCTTCAAAATTGTTTGGCGTTGCTATCGCAATTTCCGTAAACGTGCATATCACTTCAATCCCGTACAAGATCTACATCCAGGAGATGCTGTCGCTGGATTTTAAACCGTTGGCAGTATAACAATGAATTTATTCGAAATATTTTATGGACCGATGAAGCTTGTTTTACAAGAGGAGGCACATTTAATTATCACAACAATCATATTTGGGCTCATGAAGTGAGACGCCGATCATTCCAGCAAGAATTTAGTTCTAACATCTGGTTAGGTGTGATGGGTGGAAATATTTGTGACCTTATGTATTACCCCCAAGGCTAAATTCAGTATAATTTGCTAATTTTCTGGAAAATAAGTTATTCCAATTACTGGAAGTTATTCCCTTAAACCAAAGATATCGCAGTTGGTTCCAAATGGATGGAGCTCCAGCTCACTCTGGCCAAATAGTTCGCAACTGGATGAATGCAAATTATCAGAACCGCTGGATAGGACGTTTGCCATATGAACCGTTGCTTAATGTGGAGGGGCCGGTGCCTTGGCCTCCTAGATCACCAGATCTTAACCCCCTCGACTACTATGTAGGGGGTACGTTGAAAGATGATGTTTACTCTGTACCAATTGAATACAGAAATCAGTTGCAGAGAAGAATAATAGACGCCTGTGATAATCTCAAGCAGAGGCCATATGAAATCATCGCGGGGATAAATTCTTTAATACGAAGATGTCAAATGTGTATTAATGCAGCAGGCGGGCATTTCGAACAACTTCGTTAGATGTTATGCAGCTGTAATTATTTTCAATAGTTTTATTAAATATTGATTATTGAGTTGATACAGTAATTATTTTATTGTCGTGCAATTTGTAGGTCTATTGTAATAGTAATAATAAATAAATTTTACTTGAAAATGATAATAGTTACGAAAAACTTACAAGGATAATTTTTTGTCCCAAATTAAACGGAGAATCCAAAAAATATTGTTTTTTAAATTTAAAGCCAGTGGCGTACTAATATTTTTTTACTAAATCAATGGAGACCCCTATTTTCTCCGTCACTGGTAAAGTAAAAAAAATGAAAAATTCTCCAAAGATCACACGTACAGTGCAAAATCATTTATAAAAATCTTACGGGTGAAACCTCATCACCTGCAGAAAAATTCGAAAAATATATTTTTTTTCGGGAAACTTTAACGCGCTGTATCTCAAAAAGTAAACATTTGTCGGGTATAGTTTATTTAGCAAACTAACATAATTTTTTGATATTGTATTGATTCCTGAAGTTTGATCGAAAAAAGTGGACCACCCTGTATATTATTAACAAAATGCTGAAAATAGTATTTAAAAATATGAAAATTTGTTAGGTATTAGGTATTTTTGATGAATTTATAAAGTGATGCTGTTTCTGTCAAATGTCAAAGCCTTCGTGCCCTATATTTTGGGCAACAATTGTAGTAGGTACCTACTTATTATTATAGTCATTTTTTGATCACACCTCATGCTTATGTTTACTTACAGCTTGCACTGAAGGAAAAATAATAAATAAATAAATAAGTTAAAAATATTTTAATTTAATCAATAAGTTAAATTCCAAAAATATTGCAAAATAATTTTATTATATATTAAATAAATCAATATATGAATATGTCTTCGAAAACAAACCGGTTGCGTGGAAATAATCGGATACCGATAGAATATTTCTCCAGTAAAATGTCATTTTTTACCGATTTGCCAACAAACTTCATTTAAATTTTCTTTACCTAAATTATAAGAATTTTTAAGCTCGACATATCACTATCGAGAATACTTTTCATCCAAGTCGTCCAGTAAAATATCATTTATGGATACAATATTCAACAAGTAATTTCATGTAAATTTTCTTTAATTAAATTATAGGAAGTTTCCAGAATATTTTTCGTCCAATTACGGTAAATTCTCATACATAATATTGAATATATAGGTAAGCGATAGTTTTCTAAGAAATCGAAAATAGTTATAATGACGTCCAATAAAAAAGCCCAGGAGGTAACAAAAGATATATTCCGAGACAATGATATTGGAGACAACTTCAAATCCATTTCAGTAGGATAAAAGATAATGATTCATGTAAAGAACAAGTGGCATAGACCTGCTTGATCAAAAGGTGTAGCTATAAATTGCGAAGAAAATCGGTACTGTAAGTTATGTGAAGATAATTTTATGGCTGTCATGCTTCAGTGTGCTCTATGTCTCAATTGGGTGCATGAGGCGTGTATTGGGCCCACGTCTGAGAACGAAGATTTGTTTGTCCAAACTGTTATATAAATACAGGGCCTAATTGTCTGCACTAAATGAAATAATAGATACCTACCTACAAGGTTGCAAAGAACTGAAAATTATTCTTGTGTCATACCTACTATTTACAGTTTAGAGTTCAAATATCTATCATTTTTCCCCTAATTTCTTTGATATGATTAATATAGTTTCATAACGTGGAGTTTACGTGGACTTTATTGCCATTCCTTGCTTTTCTAACTCTTGCAAAACATTTGGAAGAGCAGTTATTAAAAGAAAAACGATTTTCTCGAGATTCTTACAATTTGAGCAATAAATGCATTACAGCAAACTACGAGTAGATAGATAAACTTGGAAGTGTGTAAAATTTCAATAGAAGAAAAATTTATTAGGTTATAACACATTTATCAGTGCAGTTCATTCATAAATAATATAATAAATATTTGTTCTTGCCATTATATAGGTGGATGCAATGAAATGAGAGATAGTTATTAAAGTAATCAAAGAGAGAATTTACTAATTCCAGTCAGTGGAAACGAATCGTTCTAACCTGGTCGTTGCAGCAGGTGCCACGAACAATCTATTAATGTGCTTGTATGTTTGGCGAATATTTGGCAAGGCTCCACATGAACTGGAGCCGACTTAACTTGCCTATTTGCCTTCTTTACCTAATACAACTTTGTAGTGACATAGACAACGATAATGTGCTGATCACCCTATTCAAAATATGTAATTATGAATTCTCAAAATGTTTATAATCCCCATAAAAAATGGAACTTATTCTTTGCACCCTATTGGTATGTTAACGAAATAATTCTATAGTACAGTACAGTAATTAAGCTAGTAATTAATTTCGTAAAAATAAAAAAAATTCTCTATCGAAACTGAACATATAGAAATATCAAACCTTAAAACTTAATTCCTATTTTTTCCTAGCTACGGATTTCGTATTGATCTTTGTCCAAAGTTATCAGCTAAGAAAATGATAGGAATTAAGAAAAAAACTATATACTAATGAAAAAAAAAAACACACCTGATGTAATAAAATTATTAAATAATATTACAAATCGTCTAATAAAATAACTTATTATTTTCTTAGCATGATTTCGTGTTGTTCTTTACTCCAAAGTAGTCCCTCATAGCTAGAAAAAAGAACAAGAGTTTGGGTTGCTTATGGAGTTTCTTGGATATTTACCATCAAAGACTAAATTTAACTTTTATTTTTTTATAATCATTATGAATTAGCTTAACATTTTTAAAGTAATGTGCAAATACAAGACCTAATACCTAATGAAAATAGGACTAATTAAAAAAAATAGATTTTGGAAACTAACTCATAAACATCGTTAACACCAATGATATAGGTAAAAAAGGGTTACGAGAAATTAATAATATATGCCTTTAAAATACTGTTAATTTAAGTCCAGAAGGAGGTAGATAACATAATTATTCATTATTAAATAATTGTTATTGCAATGTAACAAAAATTGTAAGTTTATTCCTTAAAAATGTTAACATTAAAAGTTACAAATTAAGATTCTGATCATATTACGTAACAGGTACATATTTTGAAAAATGTTAGGATTATTAGATACTTTTTTGAAAAACTGATGAATAAATAAATAGGGGGTTATATATGCTCGTCCACATTTGTACCGGAAAATTATGCTTTAGATGAGGAAATTGGCATAACTCATGGGGCGTAAAATTTTGCATATATACTTCCAACCGTTTGAGAAAATACAGTTTCAGAACGCGAGCTAAATTCAACTGGAATGGTAGTCTTATAAGAAATATGTGAACTGATCACAGAAATAAGGGTAGTTTATCCGCAATGTATGGAAGGACAAAAATTAAATAACGTAAGTCGTAGCTAAAGCTAGCAAGGTGGCATGAGACATATAGGACCACATCGCAGCATTTCCTGTAAAGCCGCTAGATCGCACGCGCGCTGCCGATCCAAGCCGACAGAGTTAAACGCGAGTTCCACACGACTTCAGTATGTGCTAGCAACCTGTGAGTTGATGTTTGTCAGCATATGCGAGCGCTCTTGCTGTGTCACTTCGCGATCTATATCTTCGATAACAAATCCTCAAGAAAACTCACGCACCTTCATTTCCGAGAGTTAGTTTTATCGGAGATCGTGACAAATTAATAATTGTGACGTTACAAATGTGTCTAATTGCAATTTAGTAAAATAAAAAAATCGTACCTGTGCAATTTATAAAAATATCAGAACTAATATATATTTTTTAATATTTGTGGTTATAATTTTAGAAAAATAATAAGAACTGATAAGAACATTTAAATCAAATAAAGTGGCACTTAAGTGACACATATAATTTTTTGGAGACTGTTTTTAAATAAATGTGTTTAAGCTATTGGATTGCCTTGCTCATTGTAGTGTTCTCTTTTTCATAAATCTTCGTCTTATCTGGCTTGTGTGTCAACGTGCCTGGCCTACGTCTGACATTTGACTGTAACCTGCTTATCCCCCGCCACCAAATCTTCCGATGCTGTGATTCCATCGCACGAACATCATCATCACCATCGCGGACCCCGTGGCGTGCGCCGCGCCCACCCTGTACGACCATGTGCATCCCCCCGGATCCTCCCCAGCCACCGGAGCGGGGTCTTCCACCGGGGTGACGTGGTGGTCCATGATGAACGGTAGCCTCTACGAAGAAAGCCCCCCACCTGCCCCCCAGAGCGCCGCTACGCCGATAAGTAACAGTGGAATGACTAGTCCAGCAACGGTGCCGCCACCCGCGGCTACTACCTCTGCAACGTCTAGCTCTTCGCCAGCGAGCGTCACTAGTAATAGTGGCTCTGCGGGTCCTTTACATATTCCCGCCAAAAGATTAACCTCAAGCGGCTACGGAGATTGTGCAGACGGTGTTATCAGACACGGTCATGGGCAGCCGTGGACTTATTCGCCCTCCGAAAATCATCATGCAGGGGCAACAGCTTTCGAACCTACTGTTGGTCTTAATCATCACCAGTACAGTGCACCTACGTACTATAACTTGGCAGATCCAACAGGAAGTAGAGATAGCAGAAAAGCCCCTCTCTCGTTTTGGTCGCCGGCCGCAACGGCTGCTACAGGAACTCCGGAATATAAATATAGCAGCGTGTCGGCGGGTCCCAGCGCTGATCCGTCAGTTTCATCTTGCCATCAAAGCTTTTCTGGAAATTCTTGGTGCAACTATTCACCATATTCTTCAGCATCCAGACATCATGTGGATACACACCAAGCCGTCCCTTACCTTCCTGCGGATGACCGAGGCCGTGCTGCTGCTGCTGCGGCTATGGTGGCCGAAAGCGCAAGTTTTGCCCATGCTCACGACAGGTCAGGCTATGGATTGGGAAATTATGCACCTGAGCCAGTTCCATCCACCCCATATCCTCCACCAGGTGAGTAAGCGAATGAAAAACTTTAATGTATGTCAATATCGATAGACGAAACGTATTTTTAAACAATGCATGTCTACAGTGCGAGAAGCTTATACTTCATAGTTTTGTCGCTAGATGTCACAAGCATTCAAAACAAGCAAGCATAACTAGCTCATTTATTCCAAATAGTAATATGCCGCTTTCAGAATAATTGTTTGTTATTATCTTTATTGTTGTAATTATTTATTATTATTTTTGTTATTAAAAAGTTATTTCAAGAATAGAATTTATATAAAATTGTTGAAAATTAAAAATTGTAATGTAAATAAGTGTAAAAATATGTAGGTAGAATGGGAATTAAATAAATATAAATACAAAATATGGAAAGATAAATAGCAAATAAATAATAATTTACCTTAATTTGATTGAGATCATTCAATTTTTAAAGTCTGTAAAAAATAAATAAAATATACATAAATAGGAAATAAGTGCCTACCTATGTTTATTTTTATGATATAAATACGTTAGTATCAACATCTGTCACCGAAAATGTAGGCAATTAAAACATTTCATAAGTACAGTAATAATCAAATTCTATTCATTGAGGACTTTTAAAGATTTTATGACTTAGGTCAGTTTTATTGCATAGTAAAAGTGCTATAGCTTCATAGTACTACAGCCGTTGAGTGATTCTTGCAACACATTTGTTTCCGTGTTTACATAGTCAGCTGATTTTGTACCTAGGTACACATTTTTACTTTATTTAATATGTATTATATACAGGATGTTCCGGTTTTTTTGTTAAAAATTCTGACAAACGATAGAGGACTTGATTTTGAGTAAAACAGTTCCTACTAACATAATTCGTAAAGTATTTTGCAACTCAGATACAGGGTGTTGAGATTAAATTTTTATAATGATTTTTTGGACAGTATTTAATTCAAATTTGGTACATACAAGGAATGATATGATAAAATGTACATACTATCATTTCGTTCCATGCGTCGGTAGCATGCGTGCTAATAAAATATTTTCGAGGAAGTCGGTGAAATGTTTGCACTGCTTTTCGATCCTGGTTAAAAAATCTCTTTGTATTTAGACCTAAGCATCAGAATTATTAAAAACATATTCATGAACGATAATAAACAAGTTTAGGATGTAAAGGGTGACCGATTAGAAATGTCACTCCTCTAATTAACTTTGTTGTTTTTGATTTTAAAAAAAATGTACATGGTGTCACATCAAAAAAATTATTACACTGGCAACTTTATAATTTTTTATTTTAGGAAAACTTTCCTTTTAAGAAAAGTTTAATATATGTGGTATGGTCCTGTGAGGGTCTCTTTTAAAAAAATATTTTTTTAAATCTGTAGTTGTTTTTGAAAGTATAAGTAAGTATGATATATATTTGTATTGACAGTTTTTATATCTAGACGACTTTTTGATTAATTTGCAACTACTCTCCTATCATATTACTAATATTTAAATTACGTGTTACAATAAAAAAAAATATTGATAATATTAAATTACAATATACTAAAAAAATTATTCTATACAGGGTGGTCCTACATTGACTGTATGTATTTACGAGACGGATAGTACATAAAAAATAATAGTACTTACCTATTATTTTACATATATTTTTTTTCGAATGTGGATAATGAGGTGTGCCCCTATAAAAGATGGTGATGGTTATTTCTTTACGACATCTTAAATGGTAAGGTATCGTAAACTTGGTGCATCTGGGCAGTAATTTGTGTGGTATTATTCAAATCTTGGATAGGGGTTAGTTTTAGAGGGGCAACTGTCATTAAGTATTTCATCTGCAACTTTTTTGTTTGATCCTGTTTTTTTTACAATTTTTGAATAAATCAAACCGCTTTCGAAAAATTCATGAAAATTTAAAAAAAAAATGAGGTGAAAATAAAAAGATCTAAAACTACATGTCAGGCGAGATGTGGGATTTGAATTGTACTGTATAAATTAGTATCCATATGCCCTAAAACTAAGTTTAAAATGTGAATTAGACATATCTAGAAACATTCAATATATCACAAAGACATATCTATTATTTCTTTTTAAAGTGGTATATCTCCCTTATTATCTATTTTCGGAAGCAGTTCTATATAAAAAAAACGTACCATTATTTTCTGGTCCGGCTTGAAAATATCGGAAAAGAATTTAGGACCACTATACAGAGTTGCTCTTTAAGTACCTAATGTAATTTTTTTCTGTTATCAGTTTCCTTTTACTCAAGCTTTTACTATACAAGTTAGTTCAAACTTAATAATAAAATATGATAAAGTCGCATTTTTTTTAGAAAATTTATTGACTAGACCCAGAGGACTATACAGGGTGTATCTAAATGGAGGGACACAAATGATACCAGAGATTCCTTGGGTGAAAATAAGTCGATTTAACCCAACATACCTATATCCCAAGTCGCATAATAAAAAAGATACAGGGTGTCAAAGTGAAAAATAAAAAATGGTTTTTCCTTAATAATTTCTATAATTTTAGTCAGAAATGTTTCAAATTTTCAACAGAAAGACTCTTCAATGATGGGAAAAATAATATAATAATGATTTTTGAGTGTCGAGTACGAGGCGCCCTCTGCAGGTAACGTTATGCATTTAATATGTAGTAACTTTTTTGATAACCCCCGTATACAGCTTTTAGTAACAAAATATGGAATATTGGACTTTTTTAAACAAAAAAGGTATACATATTGAAAATGGCTAAAGCCAACCGTTGAGGAGATATTTTTAATTTCATAAATTAGTGTTACGCATTTATACCTACACGAATACCAAGGTTCGAGTTGCTTAAATAAATTAAAAAGTCAGTAGGTATATGTCATTTGACTATTGAATACCCGTAAATTGCAATTTTGAAGTATTAGTTTAAAGTGTTAATTGATTTTAGTCACTATTTACCTGTGTCCTAGATATTAAATAGTTTTGGAATTGAATAAAATAACAAATTATGTATACTAATGAGGAGTATGTCGATATGTTGCAAGTGTTTTTCGAATGTTATAAGAACTGTGCTGCTGCTGCTGCTGTACGACTTTATCATGCCAGATATCCCAATTGTCGTGTTCCTGCTAGAAAAACTTTTGCGGCGGTAGAAAGAAGACTTCGAGGAAACGGACACATTCAACCTCGTCCTGAAGGTAGTGGTAGAAGACGTGTACAACTTTGAAATTGTCCTTGGCAATTTACAAGATCAGAATTCTGTAACTAGTACCAGAAAATTGGCGACACAATATAACGTTTCACATAATACGATTTGGAAAATTGCGAATAATAATCTTTTATACCCCTACCATCTACAACCTGTGCAGGAATTAACTGCTGCGAATTTACCCTAACAGGATAGATTTTGGTCAATGGTATATGAACATTTCAAGGGAAAACAGAAATATTTTATCCAGTATTTTGTTTGGTGATGAAGCGTCATTTTAAAGACATGGTTTAGTGAACCATCACAATAATCACTCATGGTCTGACGAAAATCCTCACCAAGTTTGTACATCCAAATTTCAACATAATTTTAGTTTATATGTATGGGTAGGAATCGTAAGAGATTATTTTATTGGTCCGTTTATTCTTCCTCGGCGTCTCGGTGGAGCCGAATATTTGAGATTTTTAAATGAGCAACTCCCAATAGGTATTGCTTGAAGACATGCCACTAGCTATCCGTGAAAACGTGCTCATTGCACATTAGCTGTTAGACAATGGTTAAATTTAAATTTTCCTGGGAGATGGATAGGTCGAGGGAACGATGCACCAGTCAAATGGCCTGCGCGACCACCGGGTCTCACACCCATGGCCTATTTTTTATGGGGTCACTTAAAAAATGTTGTTTATTCCAACCCTATTGATAGTGTGGAGATGCTTCGTCAAAGAATTTTTGCAGCAGCTGAGGAAGTAAACATATATACATACATATTTTTTCAGGAGTTCGTCGTAATTTTAATCGTATAATTAGACTATGCTTACAGGAAAATGGAAATATCCTTTAAAAAATCTTGTTTTTTTTATTGTCAGCCAATTATTTCTCTTAAATTATCTATTGACTGTTGTTAGGTGACTCTTGGTTTTAGTTGTTTTGCTCATTTTTCTAATAATTATTATTAAATTAACAATAAATAAGTATTTTGCAATATTTTTCACCTGAACTGTTATTTCATATGAAATTTCTTTAATGCAGGATTTAAATAAATTCACATGCACATGAAAATGTTTTTTTTTTTTAATAAAGACACCGAAAAAACAATTAAATAGAAATTATGTGTGTATTCGCACATGCTAAAATACGCAAAAAGAGTAAAGTAAATTTATAAGGAAAAATAAACTGTCTGAATTGATTCCTGCGCCCCCTTTTGGTCAAATTTTAAAATACAGATACACAGCTAATAAGTACTGTGAGGCAATGCGTTCTGAATTTATTAATAAAAGTGTCTGTTTGTACCTTGGTATTCGTAACACTAATTTATGAAATTATAAATATCTCCTCAAAGGTTGGCTTTAGCCATTTTCAATATGTATACCTTTTTTGTTCAAAAAAGTCCAATATTTCATATTTTGTTACTGAAAGCTGTATACGGGGGTTGGCAAAAAAGTTACTACATATTCAATGCTTAACGTTACCTGCAGAGGGCGCCTTATACTCGACACTCAAAAATCATTATTATATTATTTTCCCATCATTAAAAAACCTCTCTGTTGAAAATTTGAAACATTTCTGACTAAAATTATAGAAATTATTAAGGAAAAACCATTTTTTATTTTTCACTTTGACACCCTGTATCTTTTTTATTATGCGACTTGGGATATAGGTAAGTTGGGTAAAATCGACTTATTTTCACCCAAGGAATCTCTAGTATCATTTGTGCCCCCCCTTTAGTTTATTTCGATGGAACACCCCGTACATTTATTAGAATATTTAAGATCAATACAACAGTACTGCTATTTAGTATAATTTCAGTTAAATAGATCTTTCTTTTTCTGCTTATA